GTCATATAGAGGCATCAGTATTCATAAGTAACACAAGTAAAGTACTTGAGAAACTGTGTCTCCACCACTGAATACACAATGTTATGTCCACCCACCGCTCTCAGTATCAGATATCCTGCATTAATCGCTGCATACTTCCTTAACGCATATTAATATCTGTCCAAATTAAGCAGGCCTCAGCATCTCTGGCCTGGTTATGACTCAGCAGAGCGGACGCAGATTTATCTCGGAGGAAAATGCAGATGGAGGCCGAAATTAAGGCCGGCGCTGACCTCGATTCAACCTCGCTCACCCCTCGTTATCGACAAACACAGGAAGCAGACACGAACAACCAGCTCTCCAGGCAACCACGGCCCAAACAAGACAATGACCCCCCCCCCCCGCCGTCTCTTCCTATGGTGTCAGACTTCCTGAGCAGGACTTTGTTGCTACGGTGACAAGGGTTCGCCATGGTAACCTCCACTCCTGGTGATGGCGGCAGCAGCAGCAGCATCACCTGGGACTCATTCAGAGCCCACTGCAGGGAGCAAGTTTCAGTGAGTAGACTGTTCAGAGGCCCTGATTGTGCTCTCTGGGTTCTGCAGGTCTGACGTCAGCGCGCACACACACATACATGCACACACACACACGCACACACTATCTATAAAAACAATCTATAACACTCCAAAAAAAAAAGCACACAACGATATAAACTGGTTTCCAAAACATTTTGATTTTGTTGCTTTAAATCCTAGAAACAAGATAATAATCGGACTTTTTCGAACTGAATTTAGACAACATTAGAGCACTTTTCATGCCAAAAACAGTGGAGAAAATTCCTGGTTGAAAGAATCTTTATGAACATTTTTAAACCTGACAGCGTTACAAAGCTGCGGGAACTCTCCACGTTTGTGTTTTGGGGCTTTGTCCCTGCAGGGGATTTGTGCAGAGGAGTTTGAGCTCTTGGTGTAATAGCTCTGTTTAGATCAGGACACTGACTTCAGGACATCTCCTTCTTTCTCAGCCGGTCGTCTGTGGATTTGTCTGTGTGCTTTGTGTCCTTATCGGGAACATCAATCTGTACCTTCAGTTTTAGTCGTAGCCTCACCAGTGGCCGGCGACCTTACTGAAGAGTAACAACACCTTAACTCACACTGCCTTTACACTAAATATACAGTTCAGAATGGTGTTTATTGCAATGTTATAGAATATATTTAGGCCTCTTCACATTACTTAAAGGATCTTTATGTTGCAACCATTTGATCCTAAAGATGTTTTGCTTGTAGCCAAACTTAATGCTGATGTGGATTAATGAGCAAAAATACAAAAGCACACTAGAGCACAATCTAACACACTTATCTAGATGTTTTTACTTTAATATTGTGGATTAACAATAGAAAAAGTTTCTTGATCCACTCTTTACATACATATAAAATAATACTGTCTGCCTTTAATACTGAATACAGACTCACACACTGAAGTTTAACTGATTGATCAGCAGAGGTGTTTAAGTACACGTTTTCCTGGTTTAGAGCAAAATGCCTCAACAACTATTGACCTGATTTTCATGAAATCTGCAGTTAGATATTCATCATCAGCACGTGATTTTGGCGACACTCTGACTTTCATCTAGCGCCCATTATCAGGTCAAAATGTCCATTTGTGAACAAGAAATATCCAAATGTTACAGGAAAATTGCCACATTCTTGCTCCCCAGAGGAATCATTTTCCTAGTTTGTGAGATTATATATGTAGTTTGTTTGAATATTAACAGATATTTCACCTGTGATTACAAACCTAGTTGAAAGTCTGATATTCCTTCGTTCTTTGATATTTTGAGGTTTTTGAGTGTTTCAGAGTCAAACAAGAGATTTGTTACCATCTCACACACAACAATGCACATCATACAACGGCCCTCCACTGTTTTTGTTCCTTCTTCTTCATATTCAAAACATCCAAACACACCTCTGAGGCTTTGCTGCGTTCGGCATTAAACATCAGGTCCATTATCCCTGAACAAACATCCTCCACAATCAGAGGAAACCGCTGGGGAAGATTAGACGGAGAAGTAGAAGAACATTCAGGAGGCCACCGAGAACTCTTTTCTCTAAAAACAATTAAAGCTACGCCACTTGCATCCTGGAAGATCTCCGACCAACAATGTTTTTTTAACACACACAAGCAGGTTTAATATCGGTCAGTCCACCACTTCGGTTCCAGACTGAAATATCTGCACAACTACTGGATGAACTGTCATGATGGTTTCTACAGATATTCGTGTCTCCTGGAGGATAAATTCTAACTTTGGCGAGCCTTTGATTTTTCCTTTAACGACATCAGCAGGTCAAAGTTTTCCTTTATTCAGTGAAATATCTCAACATCTACAGATATTAATGGAGCCCAGGGGATGTATTCTAATGACTTTAGTGATCCTCTGACCTCAACTGTAGGGTTGTCTCACTTTATTTTAAGTGAAAATAAAACGATTTTGAAAGAAATACCGAGCGTTCAACAAACTGACCAAAGGGACAAGTCACAGCTGCAACCACGCACATCATCACTTTATTTTCAGTATTTGTTATTTAAGACTGAAGCGCACCCTCAGTTCACAGCCCAGGATTACAGTGCCACACAGGAGAAAGTCACATATAGCCTCTTGCCGGCTGGTCCGCTAAGTGTCCCAGTTTGCCACACAGCTGTGGCGTTTGCGTCCCGTGGCTCCCCGGTGTTTCCGTTTAACGAGTGACCCTGTTAACTGGTGATAAAGTGGCCAGTTAACAGGGTCACAGGCCAGGAGGCAGGAGGAGGAAGGGTGGATTAGCACCAGCAGGTAATGCGATGAAACATTGTCCTGCTGTACAGCTTACATTTTAATGAGTAAAAACAACAAAAACGGGTAATATCTTCTTTTCATCTTTCCGAATACCTATTTATGTACAGTTTATTTGACAGGGACAGACACGGTCGACATAGACGGGCTGAAAATAGCTATCCGACAGAAGTATCATAGTCACCCTCGTCCCTGACCTGCAAAGTACATTTCCATCATCTGCAGCTGTTATCTTCCCCACAGTGAACCGTACAAACATTCAGGTTTGTCCTGTCTTATTACTGAATAAGATCAAATAGAGACGGTTTGCAGTGAAGATGATTTCACTAGGTCTGTGTCACAGCAAGTGCTGGAATGTAAACTAAGTAAATTTACTCAAGTACTGAACTTTAGGCCATACTGACATACTTGTATCTGAGTATTTCCATATAAGCCATTTAATATTGTACTTTTTACTCCACTAAATGTATTTAAACAGCTATAGTTACTAATTAAAGATACTTTTCAGGCAAAAATTTACATTAAAAAAAAAAAAAAAGTCCAAAAACTGTCATCTAACAACCCCTCAGATTTATCTTGTGTCCACAACTCTAACTGTACACAAAGTAGTTAAAGCTAACTCCACCTCAAGCAGCTACAACTGGTTTGCCAGGGATTTATTGTAAATAACAGCCTTTGCCTGTGAGTTTCACACTTAAACATCCATTTTGTTATGCTGCTTGCTTCACAGTTCACATTAAACAAGGCACAGTGCTGCTGGACGAACATCAAAGTTGAGAGGAGATAACATGTTCACAATACGATGTACGACAGCACGGGGCAGAACGTGCTGATGGAGATACGGTCTTCATCTGATAGGCCTCAAAACTGAGTCACTTCCAGCAGCTTTAACACAGACTGTCTCTCCTCATACTGCAGCTCTCCACTCTCTCCGTTTTTATTTCCCTTTCTTCTTTTTTAAAGCTGAATATGGAATCATTTAAAACAGCGTCATATTAAGAGGCGTCTACCTCTGGTCAGACTTTTACGGGGGTTGTGTAATAAATAAACACTCCATTCACAGCCTTGTCAAGAGCCCTCATGTCGTGCCACCATACTTTACCCCCCCACGACTGCTCCATCAACAGCAGCGATCAGCCGGGCGATAGCGGAGCCAGAGAGGCACAATGACAGGGTTGCTGGTCTTTGGTGTAAAATCTGGTGTTACAACGGCACCGACGGCTAGATTCGTAATTTTTGTTAGAATCAAACCTTCATTTAGGTCTGTTTTCTTCGTCTGTGGCTCTGGAAAATGACCATTGATGGTTGGCTTGAAGACTTACAGATTCACAACAAATGTAGGGTCTAGTGTTTTTGAAAACTTGAGTCATACTAGGGACTAAAACTAATATTTATTTTTGACACTTTTGCTTCGATTGTCATCGTCTCTTTTGAGTCTTCTAACTTCACAGAAGTGAAACACTAAATGTAAATGTTCATAGTCTGAAAATAAATTCAAAACAGCTGAATGAGCTCATGTAGCGTGGCAAAAGAATATATACTTGTGTCATTCTATATTTAGTATGTATGTAAGAACACTGCTTACCCTCTCAGACAACAATGCAAAGCAATGTATGTTTAAAACCGATGATTTTGTGCTCTTAAAATACCTCAATCACACTTCCAGCGACCGTGGAGAAGACTCCATCACACATTCTGACACCCAGACAATGTACAGACGGTGTAGGCAACCAACTGCTGCCTTTGAATGGGTGTGTATTTTGCATCAGAATAAAGACCTACTGTTCCAGTCTGCCCGTCTCATGTTCCTCTGCCTGGACTCCCATCTGCCCCTGCAGCACGCTCTCCTGTTTCCCTTCCCAGCAGGGCTACTATTCATTATTCCCCGTATCAAGTTCCCTCTCCGCAACTCCAAACACTCACAGCTCCGCCACAAAAATGTCTGGAGCAGCATATTTTCACACCTCACACATTGTCCCACACATACTTCTAATATTTAACACACGGATGCAAGTTTCATGTGACCTCTGCAGTGCGACTTTTTACTTTCGTAGTTAAAAAAAATGTGAGGCGGGGCGACTGACCATGGAAGTAACTCTTAACCTTGACGTATCCCACACTGAGCCGGAGCACAGACAGCTTGTCCAGGCGACCTCTGACCTCCTCGGAGAACGGCAGCAGGCCGGTGAGACGATCCAGCTCCCCGTTCAGGCGGTCTCGGTGGCGTTTGGACGGATTGGTCTTCGCCGGTGGAGGCTTTGCACTTTAACACAAGACATAAGAGGAGATGTTCAGAGATGCTGCCTGCTAAAACATGTTTCACTCTGCGTGAAAATCTATAGCACACAGTGGAATTTCCACACAGAATTGAAGTGGGAGTTTTTTGGTTTTGTGGTTGATTTATTTTTCCATATCCTGTAACACAGTACATCTGAACACCCGTAGGGGTGCACGTAGGAGATTTGTGTGTCACACTGACACACTGACTCATGATAACAATACGTCCGTTGAAAAAATTCCAGTGGTGAATTTCTGAGAGACGATGTAGTCGGTTGCAGCCCAAATAAACTCTGAACCACATCAAAGGATCAACTTCCTGGTTTTAAGAGCCAGCAGAGGCTCAAAGTCTGGTTCATAGTTTTATTATTACAGGACGAGAAAACACACACAGAGAGAGAAATGTGGTTTGTTGTATTAGTTTGCAGCACATTCACTCTGTTTAGTCTTTATTTGGATTAAATACCTGCACATATTAGATTTACTGAAGTAAAAACTCATCAATATAAGCACCTTTGGTTTCTGGGACACTGTGAGGAACAATGTTTACTGTATTTTAGTCTAAATGATTAATCCACTGATCGAGAAAATAATTGGCAGATAAATCAAGAATGAAAGAACTGATAAAGAAAATAATTGGCATAAATCAAGAATGAAAATAATCATCAGTTGCAGCACTGATCTGTTTAATGGAGACAAATAACGACAGCTCTCCTCCCTTTGGGGTGAGGATTAGTGCAGCACAGTAATCTATCAGGTTAGTAGGTTAGCTATGGTACTATGATATACAGCAGTGTGGCATGAAAAACAGAACATAAAATAGAAAGTGGAGCAAAATCTGTTTTATCTTCTTCTCGATCTGCACAAAAGATAAACTGCCTCAAAATGTAAAAGTCCTGCTTACAGCTGCTACGATTCGTTTATTAATTGGCAGACTATTATTGACTATTAAAACAATCCCCAACTATTTAAACAATTTATTAAATTACATTAAATTAAATTAAATTTAAAAAATGTCCATATTCTTTGATTTCAGCTTCTTAAATGTGAATATTTTCTGGTGTCTTTAGTAAACTGAATATCTTATGTTTGTAATACAAAACAAGACATTTGAGGACGTCACTGGTGACATTTTCTGGACCAAACAACTAATCAATCAATGGAGAAAATTGAATGGAGAAAACAGATTAATTGATAGTGAAAATAATTCTTAGTCCTAATCTACAAATACCACAAATCCACAGCCAAACTTTAGGATGCTAACATTGGCACACAGAAAGTAGGCTGGCATGGGGATGTTAGTTTGACCATAAACTAAAGTAATGGACAAAAAATTGACCTGAAGTCACTGCAATTTATCCTCATTGGAACAGAATTTAATGTTAATATTAATCCATAAAGTCTTAAAATAAACATATTTGGAGTGGAACGGCCAATTTACCCCAAATACAGAGTTACATCATAAATCTGAGAGTGCATGTGTGTGTTGATCTATCTTCCACTTGTTGGCCTGCACCATTATTACTACGAATTACCACAACATAACTCCTCTCTGACATGTCAGGACACGCAGCGGGCCTGTGTGTCATCCCTCCCTGAATAAACACACAGATCTAAGAAAAGAGTCGGAGGGACGAGGACAAAGCAGGCCAGGAATGAGGAGATGAAACAGGAGAGAGAGAAAGAGAGATAAAGAGAGAGAAAAAATCTGGAGGAAAACATGAGAATTTAAAGTGAAATGAAGCAATTAGTTGAGATTTATAAATCGGTGATCAGCTGCTGATGAATACTGTGGTAACAGTAGTCGCTGAAGGTGACAATAGACCAGGTTTTGGAAACAATAGCAGGTAAACGCCTGAGGGAGTAAATAAATAAAGTCAGTGTATCCATAACAAATCACAGTATATCATCATAGACATAAAGTCTAATAATAAAACTGCTTTTTAGTCACTTTATATAACATTGTATAGACTTTAGTTGCAGAATATGAAACACAGTCAACAAATAAGTGATGATGTGTTATTAGAAGTTAAGATAAGACTTTATTGATCGAGGTGCAACAATAATGTGACACATTACACATTAATGCATCAATAATAATAATAATAATAATACAATAATGTACATTATTCTGATATTGGGGTGTATTTTATCTGCAAAATTAGTACTTTTACTTTTTATTTCAAGCATATTTTAATTAGATTGTTACTTGAATGCAGGACTTTTACTTAAAAGAAACAACAACTTAACTGTAACTAAGTACATTCATTCAATTACTGTACTTGTACTTTACTGGATTTCCATTTTATGCTACTTTAAACCTCTACTTGGCAACAATTTGGATGCAAATATTATACTTTTTACTGCACTATA